TTATTATTATTATTATTATTATTTATTATCCTGCCATTCACAGAAAAAGTGTGCTGATCCCTTCTGTAGTCTATTCAGGGAAAAATGAGAAATAAACAATAACAGCTAACAGCTATTTGCTACCAAGTGCTGCTGTAAGACTTCTGACAATTATTTAATCTTCTCACTATCCTATGAGGTAGGAACAATTATTCCCAATGTTACCGATGAGAAAACTAAGGCAAAGTCAGTTGAGTAACTTTCCCAAGCCATGAGACTAGAGTTAGAAGCACAGCCTTTGCTCTTAAAACTTTCATGCGAGATACTTAAGCTCTGACTATAATGTTACCTGAGTGACTGAAGGATGGCATTCATGAAACATGTGTTGCCCAAATTCCGAAGGCCTGTCGCACAAATGGTAGTGGTACTTCCCTATAAAATGGAAAAGAAGAGTCCATTAATAATGCCAAGGGAAGGCAAATTGTTTCAAATATCAAAGTTAAGCAAAAGCCTCACCTTGAAACTCTAGTATCAGGATAGTCTGAAAGTAGACCTTTTCTGTCCCAAGAATATGTCAAACATATGCTCAATTTAGTCTCTATGTGTATAAATATTTTTTGAAGGCTATTCTGATCCTGGGGTTGTTCTAAATGAGAACAATGCTGTCAATAGATCTTTATTTTATTTATTTACACGTGGTGCTGAGAATTTAACTCAGTGCCTCACATTTGGTAGGCAAGCACTCTACCACTAAGCCACAACCCCAGCCCCTAAATGAGAGTATCTTATTGGAAGATTATAAGAAAATAAACATTAGTATGTAAAATGGAGTACACAATGCAAAAATAAACAGGAAAATAAAATTTAAGATTCATACCTATATAAGATTCTATTAAATATAATGGAATCTGAAAAAAATTATATAAGCCCCAAGTATTTCTGTTCCCAAACTTATAACTTGAAGCCATGCATAAATGACCAATGTATGTTTTCTTAGCAATGAACCCTAAAAAATAACTTTTCTTAAAAAGACTTGAGGCTTGCTTTTCTGATTAGTTTTACAATGCACTATGTCTGAATACTATACTTAGGAGGTAGACCTACCAATTCAATTCAAAACATTTCTGCCCATTAATTCAAATGGTTACAAGAGTACTCTCGCTGTTTGTTTCAAAAAATAAAGGCTATGGCCGAGGGTGATGGCACACACCTGTAATCACAGCAGCAAGGGAGGCTGAGGCAGAATTCAAAGCCAACCTCAACAAAAGTGAAGTGCTAAGCAACTCAGTGAGACCTTGTCTCTAAATAAAATACAATAGGACTGGGGATGTGGCTTGGTGATTGAATGCCCTTGAGTTTAACCCCCAGTACTCCCCCCCCCCAACCTCTGGCAAAAAAATTGAGACTGTGGACGTGTCCAAACACAGCTACCATGACATCAAAGGGTAGCTATGGGGCAAAAATACTGGTTCATTTAAAAACAATTTAGTGATCTTTAAATTTTTGTTTTGGTACTGGGGATTGAACCTAGGGGTGCTTAATCATTGAGTCACATCCCCGGCCCTTTCTAAATATTTTATTTAGAGTCACAGCCTCACTAAGTTGCTTAGAGACTAACTTTTGAACTTAAAATCCTCCTGCCTCAGCCTCACAAGCTGCTGGGATTACCGTGTGTGCCACCATACCCAGTTTGACCTTTAAATTTAGCTCATCTATTAATTGCTTATGGCTTGTACAGCATTAAACAGATGATTACCAGAATGTTTTCTTTTTCCTTTTTCTTTTTTTTTTTTTAATGGTACTGGGGATTGAACCCAGGGACACTTTACCACTGAAATACATCCCAACTTTTTTATTTTGAGACAGGGTCTCACTAAATTGTGAAGGCTGGCTTCAGTCTTGCAATCCTCCTGCCTCAGCCTACCCAGTCACTGGGATTATAGGTTTATGCCACTCAGCCCAGTTGCATATTCTTCTATGGTAAAATTATTTTAAAGACGTCCTAAGGAATAAAATTTGCAAAAGTTCAGTCCCATAGAATATGCACTAGTGATGTTTACCCTAAGGAAGCAAGGATCTTTAAGATTCCATAGAAATGGAATAATAAAAACACAAGCAGGCATTAAGAGCAACCTGCTTTCAACAGCAGAGGACCACAGTAAGGCACTGACAGATGGGGGACTCACTGGAGTCACATCAAGAATGATTAATACAAGTAGCAAATATTTTATAAAATACTCCAAATCTAAGGCACAGATTAATAAAAGTCCTTAACTAACAACATTAAATGTTAGAGTTATAACAGTGACTAGATTTCAACTACCTCTTGTATTTGAATAAGTTTTAATTACTTACATTTACTTTTAATAACTTGCTGTTTAGAGATGAGTTTTCCAAAAGTTTTCTTTTCCTATGCCTGTCAGCTGTGAAAGCTGAGCTATTAAAACACAAACAAACAGTCAAAAAGACATTAATATATACATGCTACACAACAGGCTAAAGAATAAACTCAAGATGCCCTCTGCATCTAGGGCATGAAACCCTGCCTGACTGCTTAGTCATGCCATCAAGTGACCAGTCAGGCCCACAAGTATTTGAAATTAACTGAAGCGTTCAACTTCCCTGGAAATTCCCACTGCTCCTCCAAAGCTGAGAAAGGGCTGGATGCTGATCCCAGCAAAGCCAGCCAGCTAAATGTAGTTTGTGAGACATGTCATCCCAATTTCCACTCTACCTAATCATTTGTGAAGCTTCAAAAATGAGAAGACCCATTCCTTACAATAAAAGGGAAAACCTGACATCAGTATTCTGAATTTAACAGTGAGTCTAAAATAATATGATATTTCTTTCTTAATTTGGATAAAAGTATGTTTCACTCATATGCCTTGATAGATTATGATATCAGTGTGAGGAATGATATATGATAACTTAATTTGATTCACCTATGCTGTAAAAAAATTCTAATTAGATTAGAAAATAAAATTATTTCTCATCAAAATTTTTCTGCTTAAATTTTATCAGAAAGTTGTTCTTCAAAATGTCACTTTAAAGTTATTGGCTATCAGGAGAACTAATCTGAAGGAAGTAAAAATTATAGTTAAACACAGACTTTTAAGACTGCCAATTCTCTTCTACCTTCTAAAAGTACCCAGCTAATCCAAAGTAAATATATAATTATTTTTCTTTCCAGAATTAAAGTTAACCTAAGTTTAAAATTCAGTTTCAAGGTAGCTTTTCAAATGCTCCATAGCCACATGTGGCAAGTGGCTACTATATTAGAAAGGGAAGATCACAGAATGCTTACATAATTGCAGAAAGTTCTACGGGACAGCGAGGCCCCAGAAGATGTACAGGATAAACACAAATGTGATCAGTTTTTAGATTCCACTATAAATTAAAGCCTATGTTTGTAAAACATAAAAATAAATTTAGGTGATGTTTCTCAACATAGGAAAAGAATTGCAAAGTAGATTTCTCAGTGGGGCCAAGTAGAAGTATGCACAAGATGGCTGTGACATCTTTTACCTGATGAAGTAATAAATAGAAACAAAGTATTTTCTAATTGTATGAACACACATACAGTTATGGAAGGCCCTACTTTCCCTCTGACTTAATTCTGACTTACTTTGGACTGAGGTGGCAGTCTTGTCTTAGAGAAAACTAAGTAGCAGAGAAAATATTCTGGTAGCTACCCACTTTTACACCAAGCATGTAAGATCTTTACAATGACATTATCATCCCAAGAGTGACTAATTACTTCAGTAATCTCCTACTTCATAATTTATTGTGAGCAACTTTAGACAAAATTAAATATTTGGATTAGTGATCTGTACCTGTGTTTCTAATCCTACATAGGCTCATGATGCTTAGTTTAGATTAAAGGGGTAAAAAAAAAATCAATTTGAGAAAGAACGGAGCAAAAGATGACAAGCTAAAAGTATTTAAACCCAAAGTGATTGAATTATTTTAGAATCTTTCTTATAAGCTTTATGTTCTATTTAAGGCAATAAGACATGATTAAAGACTTTGGTCAACAAATACTATATAGTGTTGCACTGAAAGAAGTTAGGTTATTTCTCTTTCAGTATATATTCTGAAATATTCTACTGGATCTACATTTAAGTTTGTCAAGGGATCCCTGCTTTGGCATATTTTCACAATGTCTTCTATACACCAACTGCCAAAATAAATCAGATGGCACCTGATGATTTGGGTGATTTATACAGATTTCACTTGAGTCAGCAGTCATTCCAGGCCATGCTTCTATCCACTGTAGCTTCAAAGGCATTGCTATTTGGGCTTTTATTTATCACTTCAATTTCGGGTCCAGCAAGCTTTATCTGAATAGGCATTCAGCTATAGTAAGAAAAGTCTCTTCACATAAATTCTTCAATTTCTTTATGATCACAAAGCATGTACAGTTCTTTGTAATTTCAAATATGCATTACCCCTAACAAAAAAGTATAAGATGAAACTAGAATCCTGTGCTATTGTACAGATGCAATGATACTTAAATCTAATTTCTCTTAATGCATAAATGTTGGTCTAAGATCTCATAATACATTTGATAGATTTTCTAATACTAAAGGTAACTCTATAATGATCTAGTCTAAGATCTCATAATACATTTGACAGATTTTCTAATACTAAAGGTAACTCTATTATGATCTTATATTGTTTTCTGTCCTCTCCCCCAAACTCTCTTTGCAAAAAAATTGAGTACCTTACAAATTGGTGAGCAATAACAACAACAACAACAAAATAGGTTCCTGGGCCCTTAGACATGGCTTATCTAAACAGTAAATGAAATGTGGGCAAAGTTTCAGATATCCAAACCCAAAGCATAGTTTACCAATATTGTATTTACAATAAAAAACATGATGAAGTTATAGAACTCACAAAAATTCCACTCAAAGTGCTAAAGGACCCCTTAACACCCTTCTCTTTTCCAAGACCTAATACTTACTTTTCCAAGTTCTGTAAGTGTTCTCTGACTTTCTGTACCAGTCCCAGCTTGGTGTCATTAACCACAAAATCATCACAGCGATAACTGCAAGGAAAATATTAATCAGTGTGTATATAAAGAGCTTGAGGAAACCACAGTAATGAAATCACTAAAAGGTCTGGCTGTTGCCAAGATGATCACATGGCTCTGTAGGCAGTTACTGTTGGTGGTAAGTTTAAAGAGGATCTGGAATACACAATGGAATGTTTTTAAGAGTCTTTTTAAAAAGCCACGTAGGCAATGAACACTAGCTTCTTTTTACATTTTTATTTAAAAGCTCTTCAATTCCTCCTTTGGAAATGAAATGAGCTGTGGACATGTGTTACATTCTTTTTAGTGGTACATAATACAAGGAAAAGGAAATAAAAGCACCCATTCATGTAGCCTTAAGCCTAAAGCTTTAAGGTAACACTTTCCAACACAAATTAATGGGAAATTTGGGGGAGGAGAGATACAAGTGAAAAGCAGGAAAAAGGTAATTTAACTTGTAGGGTTATATAGAAAAAGTAAAAGATGGATATCTTAAACATAATTAAAATAAATAGAATTCAGATGAGTTAGGAAGAAAGAATCTTTCATTTTGAGGCATTAGGAAATTGCTAAGTGCTCTGTAAAAAAATGTTTGGGGTGTTTTAAAAAATCAACACAGTATTTTAGCAAGTCAATAAGCAAATAATATAAGGACTCACATACAATTAACTGCATTATTTTATTTTTTGCTGGAATAGGCCAATTTTAACAAAAACAACTTATAGGCTGGCAGTAAGATATTCTTTTAAATGTGCAGTTTTGTACAAAGGCACTTTTTTAACTACTAAAGAATAATGAAAATAACACTACTATTCTGAGCAAACAAAACCTTGAAAGCATAGCACTTAGTAAAAATAATGTTATCTCTAACCAAATCCAAGAAAACATCTCAAATATCTGAAACCAATCTATAAAAAATTTTAAAAATAAAAAAGAGAGAATAGGTGGGAAGTAATGATTCTAAAAATTTAGATACAAAACCATGGCTTGTGACTTTCATTCAGAGAAGTGAAATTTTTAAGTGAATGCTTTTGAAAACTTAAACTAAAATGTTACCTTTGTCATTATCTAACATGCACCCTCATTAACTGACCACGCATGCTGTCAATCAAGATTTCTCTAACACATTCTCAAGTTCCCAGGGTCAATTTCCAACATTTCCACATATAGCAAAAGCAACCTTTTATATCCTGGACCATCTCTCTTTGATCAAAGTACCTCTGGAAGGGGAACAAATTTTTCACTGATTTTATGACAAATACATAAAGGTATCAAATTAATGAAAAGGTTTAATTCATAAAGGTATCACATTAATGATAAGGTTTAATTCTTTGCTCCTCTGAGCATAAATGAGGGTAAGGACTACTTTATGAATCTGGGCTTAAGGTACTCCTTACTTTAATGAACCTTATGTATTCACTGCAGAATGAAACTGCATTGTTATTCTACTTTAATTCCTGTTTACATTTTCATTTTTTGTTTCCATAAATGTATGCATGTAGTTTAGATAAAACAATATTCAGTGTTCAAAACAAATTCACTCCAAATGCTAGTGTTCATCTGGAAAATGAAGTCTAAGTACAAAATCAGATAACTTTTCTGTATTAACAGGGTGCTATTCTACATAAATGAAAAACAAACCCCTAACTCCTACAAAACAGTGGTTGCTTAGTTTAAAGAAACATTGTTTAAAATTATTTCATAAAAAAGTATTTTGGTGGGATGATAGGAATTCAGCCTAGAATATAAAATTACATTTGTTGAAGTAGCATTTTCACATACTAAAATATTAGAGCTCTTTATGACCTGGCTCTGTTCTTAACTAATGAGACTCAAATGGGTCAAGCTACTTCATCTCTCTAGATGAACTGGTCATTTTTCATCACTTAAGTGAGTAGGCTGCTCTGGACTACAGAGTTGCCCTAATGCAGCTAGTGCCAACTGAGTAAAATAAATTGATTTTTAAAGATTTTAAAATTTTTACTTAATAACTGAAACAGCATTAACCTTTATGAAACATAACTGTATTTTATGACAGAACTATATTTTGCTTTCATTATTACTTTGTGCAAAATGTATGGCAGTGGACATCATGTGCATGAGACATTTCCAGCATTATACAAGAGCACAGCATGAATCTAGTTGTGTCAACAAAATGATTCTGTTCATATGGTTTTTCTACGTAACAATGTAATGTTATTTCAATATTTTATGCAGACTACATGAGTGTGTAGTAACATCTATAAATCATAATTGGTAATTAAATTGAAGTACTTGATTTTTTTTCTAGCTCAAAAATTAAGAATGGAAGCTGGGCACAGTGGCATTCACCTGTAAGCCCAGATCTCAGGAGACTGAGGCATGAGGATCCAAGTTCAAGGCTATTCTGGGCAACTTAGTGAGACCCTGTCTCAAAACAAAAATCAGAAAAAACTAGGGACATAGCTAAGCAGTACAGCACCGCTGGATTTAATCCCCAGTACTGCAAAAAGAAAAAAAAATTTAAATTTTCAAATGAAGGCATACATACCACTAGGACAAAATCAAGTGGAGATGAAGCGGGGGAGGGGGGAGGCATGTTGCAGATTTAACTACAATGGCAGTTGCAATTTGCACTTAAAAAAAAAAAACATTAAAAAACTTTATAGGGGGCTGGGGATGTGGCTCAAGCAGTAGCGCGCTCGCCTGGCATGCATGCAGCCTGAGTTTGATCCTCAGCACCACATACAAACAAAGATGTTGTGTCCGCCGATAACTAAAAAATAAATATTAAAATTCTCTCTCTCTCTCTCTCTCTCTCTCTCTCTCTCTTAAAAAAAAAACTTTAAAGGAAGTTTTAAGATTATAAAATAAGACATTATTAAGAGGAAATTGCAAATGCATTTAATGTAATATAAAATTGCCTCTCAAAAAGTAATTGAGGAAATTAGTCACAATTAAATGAGAAATTAGATGTGTAACAAAAACATATTAATGATTTCTAAAGGATTTGAACTTGTAACTTTGGTTAACTATAAAAAGGCTTGGAATCTTGCTAAAGAAAAAAACCATTTGTGGATAGATAAACCACTATTTCCATTTAAGAATTATGAGTAAAGATTACAAGGGATATTTCACAAGAAAATATTTTCAATTGAACCATCAAGCAACTGTCAGTGAGTAAAAGACCTTTCTAGCAATATTAAAAATCAATCAAGTCAACATCTGAAAAATTGCAGGTACTTTTTAAAATTTTTTAACTTTTAAGTGACTTTTTCACAAGACAAGACACACTGCCAAATTAATACTTCAGGTATGTTTTGTCAAAAATGACTTCAAAATTTACAAAGGAATGTCTTTGTCTATTTGCAATCTTAAAAAACAATTTGTCTCATTTGTATTTTTTAACATTTTACATTTGTCACTTTCTATCAAGATACTGTTCAATGAAAATCTGGACTTATGGGAATTATTTATTTTTTTATTTTGTTCCACCATCTGACACATATTACAAGTATCCGTGCTCTGAGGCAGACATCACAGAGGCAGTGATTAAAATTGTTTAGCATATATGATCGAATGCTACAACTCATCACATGTTTATGGAACTGTTAAGATGAACAGAAAAAAATGAATTTAATGCTAAAAGGCATGTTGCAGATTTAACTAAAATGCTTGTGTTAAGGAAGAGTTGTACAAAGACTTAATTACACTTTTTTTTTTTGGTAGTGGGGATTGAACCCAGAGGACCTAACCATTGAGTAACATCTGTAGCCCTTTTTCATTTGTAGACAGGGTCTCACTAATTAGCTTGGGACCTTGCAATTTTGCTGAGGCTGGCCTTGAACTTTCAATCTGCTAGTCTCAACCTTCTAAATCGCTGGGATTACAGGCATGTACCATGATACCTAGCAAGACTTACTATACTCAACTCTAATTCAAAATTTTCTTAAAACAAAAGAAATGCTTGCCAATAGTCAAGATTCAGAGTGAAACCAGGAAAAGATTTTTAGAAATCTAAGTGCAATTTACTTTTTTTTTTTTAACTTATGTCATAATGCATATGAATGAGCTAAAGTTGAAGATCCAAGGAGAAAATAGCTTATTTGTGACCTAGCTTGTGAAAGGTTTAAGAATGTGTTAAAACTGAAACTTTTCATAGTACAAACAATGATTTCACACATTTTTCAACATGAATAAATATGCAGATTTTAATTATAATAGACTACTTTACATAAACTGACTGCAAAACTTCTAAGAAAAATAATACCTTTTTGAATTTCATGTGATAATACATGGAGTTATCACAAAAGTAAATGGATTTTCTTGGGCAGATGTATTGTAATAATATGTTTTTGCTTCCAAATAAAATAAATTGTTGTTCTTATGAGTCACTTTCATCAACAAAGATGCATATATTAGAGAAAAAAATGTTTTGTGCTCCATTTATTATATTTATATTTTAATAATATTTGGAATACCATGAATCCACTTTTAACTTCTTTTTTTACTTGTAGATGGACACAATACCTTTATTTATTTATTTGTGATGCTGAGGATTGAACCCAGTGCCTCACACATGCAAGACAAGTGCTCTACCACTGAGCCACAACCCCAAGCACACCATGAATCCACTTTTTAACTGCAATTTTTATGAATCTAAATACTGATGAAATATTTCTGACAAAATACGTAGCTTCTCAATTGACATGTGCTATAAACCTAAAACAACTTTGGATTTAGAAGATTTCATATGGAAGAATGACAACTATTTCTAATAATTTTTATACTGATTACATGTTTACATGATAATATTTTTGATACAAAGTTAAATATAGTATATACTTAATTCTGTGTTTTATTTTAACATGGCTACTAAAAAATTTAAACTGCAGATAAATTGCATTATTTCTGTTATATACACAAGTAAAATGAAAATCTAGGTTAAGACACTACCTGCTTTAAGATTCTATGCTACTACCCAATATCATAAAGGGACACCCTAATGTAATTTCATTTAACTATAAGAACTAAAT